AGTTATGGGCAACACTTAATAGTTCTCTACAATAATATTATTCACAGCAAGCCATGTATTGTGACTTTAACTCAAACATTTGTTTCATCAAGTGCTGGACTGACGTGAGGTTCCCACAGGAAAATTGGAACAGTTTACTGAAGTTAATGACAGATAACACTGTTTCTTTATGGGGAGGTTCTGAAGAGACTGCAGAAGTTGGTGATGAGCTTTGGTAGGGTATGTAAAAAAGAAAATTAAAAAATGAATATAAGAAAGAGTAAGGTGATGAGGATAAACAAAATTAGGAAATGGTAGATTGGATACCAGATTGGAGGGAGAGAGTAAGGAGGGAGGGTGAATGTATTCAGATATTTAGGAGTGACGTGTTCAGCAGATGGTCCATGAAGGATGAAGGTAAATCAAAGAATTGATGAGAGAAAAGGTGAGGCGGTGCACTGAGGAGTTTTTGGAGACAAAGAACTTTACCATGAAGCAAAGAGGGGAATTATGAGAATATAGTTTTCCCAGTGCTCTTGTATGGGTGTGAGACGATGGGTGATGAATGTTGCAACAAGAAGGCTTGGAGGCAGAGGATGATGTCATATTGTGTCTGTGGTATGAATATAATGCAGAGAATCCTTAAGTTTTTTGGAGATTAGAGGAGGTGTGGCATGACCAAAACTATTATCCAAAGTTGAGGAGGTTTTATTGAGGTGATTCAGACATTTAGAGAGGATGGAACAAAATCGAATGACTTTGAAAGTGTATAAATCTGTAGTGGAGGGAAGACAGGGTATGGGACGATCTATGAAGGTTGGAGGAAGGGGTAAAGGAGGTTTTGTGTAACGAGAGGCTTGGACTCCAGCAAGTGTGCGTGAGTGTGGTTGGATAGGAGGCAAGTAGAGACAAATTGATTTAGAGGACTTTGACATGCTTTGGAGTGTGAGCAAGGTAACATTTTTATAGGGATCATGGAAACTGCAGTCCAGACTGATGCAAAGATGGGAGTACAGTGCCTGCACTCTGAAGAGGGGGTGGTTAATGTTGCAGTTTTATAACTGTAATGTAAGGATACCTCTGGCAAGACAGTGATGGAGTGATTATGAAAGTTTTCCTTTTTTTTTCAGTCCCACCCTGCCTTGGTGACAGCAGCCGAGTGTTAATAAATAAAAAATAAATGACATTATTCATATTATGGAATTTATTAAGATGTTTTTGCTCGCCAGGGACATCTCAGTTTCTCACAGAGACAAAAGAATGTTATTATATTAATGGTATATTGACAAAAAGTAAACTACTAACACTCAATAAGTAATTTGAGTTATACCACTGTTCTTTAACCCTTAAACGGTCCAAAGAGATTGACATTCAAATTCCGTAGTGCTAACAAAAGTAGATTCTACTTTTTTTTTACATATTTTCAAATATAACAAAAAAAAATGTAGATAAAAGTTTTTTTACACGTTTTCAAATGTAAAACAAAAGAAGATCTACATTTTTTTTACATACTTTAAGATGTTGAAAATACGTATATATATGTTTGGACCATTTAAGGGTTAAGCCACTTTTTCTCTTTATGCTAGAATACTGCTGTACTATAGCCTAGAGTGAACCATGTTCCTTCTCACAGCATAAATGGTATTCACTACAGATTAGATTTTTAGATTTTGCCACCGAAGTGGCTAGTTTATTGTGCACCCCATATCCATCCTGTGGACGGTAGCGCGAAAGCATATGGATACACAAAAGGCCTAGGAACTAGGCCCCAAAGAGTTAACAGGAATACATATGGATTTATATCTACATATCTATAGTTCACTTATCTGTTACAAGCAAATTTAGGAAATTTGCTTAGTATATCTGGTATCTTATTTTCATTAATAAGATATCTTGACATGTCACATAGGTTATTATACTGTCTGTCTCTGTATTCCTCAATAAGTGGACAATTAAGCACATAGTGTTCAAGAGAGTGACCATATGCCTGATCACATAATTTACATTTAGTTTGATCATCATCTGTGTGTCTCCCAAACTGCCAGAAGTACTTGTAACCAAGCCTAAGCCTGGCCACTACAACATCAGTCAGTCTGTTCACATTGCAAGTTGCTCCATAAACATACTTATCTACGTTCATGTTATCATAGTGGGTTATAGATCTACTCAGGCTTCTAACTGCATTCCTATAACAATCATTTTCATTATTTACTTCTCTCCTAATATTATTCCTAATGCTAGACACAGTTATACCAAAGTTATATTCTACATTCTCCTTCTGGGTACTCTTCTTGGCTAACATATCAACTTTATCATGAAGGAATAATCCAATGTGTGATGGGATCCATAGCAATTGTACATTAATTCCTTTGTCCCTAATTTTTGAGTATCTATACCTGGCTTCCCCAATGAGCATGTTGTTGGAGTCATTATGAGTCAAGAGCCTTCAGTGATGACATAGAATCAGTAATGATGACAGAGTCAAGCTCAGTGTCATAGGTTAGCTTTAGCGCCATTAGGATTGCAAACAATTCAGTTTGCAGTGTAGACGCCCAGTTGTTAATTCTTATGCCTAACTCGACAGTACCAATTAATAATAGCAAAATCTCAAGGCCTTGCCTTGGAATCACAATAAAACTGCAGCTTGAGGATACACCAGTCCCATACCACATGGCTTCTCTCAATTACACCATTACTTATTTCCAGGCTCATTCAGCTTCCTTCCCAATGTCTTAACAAACTGCAGCAACCTCCAGGAACACCCCAAGATGCAGCAACTATAGCCAGAACACCTTTGACACCTTAAAAACTTGCTCAATAAAGCATACTGCCATCTGCTTCCAGTCATGGTTATCAAGAGAGTGAGAGAGAGAGAGAGAGAGAGAGAGAGAGAGAGAGAGAGAGAGAGAGAAGGGGAGAGAGAGAGGGGAGAGAGAGAGAGAGAGAGAGAGAGAGAGGAAGTGAGAAGAGAGAGAGAGAGAGGAAGTGAGAGAGAGAGAGGAAATGAGAGAGGAAGTGAGAGAGAGAAAAGAGAGAAAGGAAGTGAGAGAGGGAGAGGGAGGGAAAAGAGAGTGGGGAGAGAAATGTGGGATGAGAGAGGGGGAAGAAGAGAGAGGAGAAAGGAGAGAGGGAGAGAAAGAGATAGGGGAAAGAAGAGAGAGGGGGAGGAAAGAGAGGGAGAGGAGAGGGTCTGTTAAATCCAAAATCATACAGAAAACAAAAGAGCATCTCTGTGTTAAAACCAATGCATTTTTAAACACTTGTTTTACTTCTTTTTTTAAAATGTTATGAACTCTTAATTCACATATTATACAAAAGATGTTATTTTATACATCACAGTTTTGATGTATATATTACTACAAATTTTATACATACAAGATAAAACAACATCGTTTATATGTATTCCAGCCTCCTTAACACGAGTGATCAGGCTTATGCTACATTGAGCCAAAAAAACTTTTGTGAGAACACTAAATTATACTCATTAGCCACATCTTTGCTGCTATCTACTTAACAGTTATTGCAGGTGTGGGGGTTAAACTTCAGGGAGATTTTTATGCAACAGGATTTAAACCGAATTTGGGGCCTATTTTCTGTTTATTTTCATGCTCAAACTGAAGTAATTTCCTTGCTATTTTGTTAGTGTACCTTCCATATTATTCACTGAGTGCAAAAAATGCCCATTCAACCATCAGAATTGCCCTGTTAATGTACCAAGAATTCAATATTGTACCCAATTTTTACACTATTTTCAACAGATTTTAAATTTAAAAACAGAGACCAAAACTAAAATTGCAGGCATTCCATTGATTGTGCCCCCAGGCCTTTACCCTATATGGTAACATTTACCCTCCATTTACAATCTGTCATCACAAAAGAAAAAAAAATGAATTTCTCCAATTTTTTGTCTAATAAACCATAACTGAGAATACTAGGTCATGGTTTTAAGCGTCCAGTATTTTGTAGACTTGGGGGATGAAAAGATGCCCCCATCCTTCCCCAGAAAAACTCCCCAAGATTGACCCTTTTTCTCACCAGTTTGTTGCCTATTTCAGAACACTTTCAGTCTTGAATTTACTCAAATCTTGTCTGTTTCATTAGTATGTCTTCTGGTCTTGAGGATTCTTCATAATAATAATCTGGAATTTTACCTTTTTTTTTGTTGGATTTGTTATTTATCTTGATGCTTATATGGTTGAATGTTGTATTACCAAATTTATAGATTAAGTGTAAATTTGTTTACTGTCATTCATGTGTGGATGTTTTTTAATTTATTGTTTATTGTTTGTTCTAAGTCCAAGGTTGGGGAACCAGAGTTAATTACCCCAAATGAGGCAAAAATGAAAATCTCAGGGGGTAATGAAGGCTCAGTAAATATATAAATAAAATTGAATAAAAATTTATTCTTTAATAAGCGAGTCAAATTATGAAATTTATATTTTTTTCAAACAAAAATTTTTAGTTTCTTAATTTTAGTTTCTTCAGGTTTCTTCAAAACCTGAAGTGAAAATGTCAGTCAAATTATTTAGTTCCCTAATGGGACTTATTAAATTTATCTGTTACTGTTTTTTTTTTATTTCATGTAGTTTATTTTTCATCTCATTATTTTGTTATTTTTGTGTTTTATTTTTGAAGTTGCTTTATTATGTATAATACATACTTTTTAACCTGTATGACTGTTTTCTTTATATAAATGGATTCAATAAACTGTTTTGAATTTAAATGATCTTTGTCTTTTCCAGACTCTGGACTTTCAAGTCTAGTGGGTAATTTCGCTATACACAAATTTGTTTTGGGGAAATACCCAAAAAGTTCACTGACCTCTTTTCTTAGTAAGTAGTGTCAGGCCTAGAGATAACATTAAATAGTGTCATCAGCAATAAGTATTAGTATTTGGTAAGCTATTGATATAGAAAAGAAAGGAGTTATGGATCACAGAATGCTGCCTTGAGAGACACCAATACTATATTTATTGATAGAGTAGACATGGTAATATCAATTGTTTGCTTGTTGGAATCTACTAATTTATGTCTATGAAGCCTCTGTCAATAGAGGAGACTATTATGGTTCATAGTGGTAAAAGCACACATACAGCAAAAGGTGACCTTTATTAGTATGACTTTGCACCTACATTAGGCTTTATCAAATGCAAAAACTATCAGATATTGCAACATACATACATGTATGCATGTAATATTACCAGGGATTTGAAAATCTGTTAAGAGCTTTAGTCTTGCAGGAGTTAACAATTTGTTTAGGAAATCTCAGGATGGAAAGGGCTCTTTCTGTGTATTCTTGCTCTTAATGTAGGTGTTCATTACTACAAATCCGATGATGCATAAAAAGAAATCTACTACCACCCCATCTTTGTTCTGAGGTTATGATAGGTTAAGTGGGGAATTAAGTTGTCTTTATTTGTTGCTTCCTGTGGACTTTGTAGCTGGAGGTGTCATTATTCCTAATAAGAACATCTAGGAATGGTAAGGAATCATACTGCTCTTCTAAGGTGAACTGTATAGAGGGTTCCACATGGATGAATTGGTCCCTGAAGCTGTGAAGATTGAATGTTTAAGTAGTATAACTAACACATCATTGACATACCTTAACCATGTAATTTGGTGGGATTGATGTGGGCAAACCTGCTTCTGTTTAGATGGTCAAAATAGAGAATGGTCAGTACTGCACTAAGAGAACCCATGGCTATCCCAGATGTCTATTGTATAACCTGTCTTCACATGAGAACAGGTTGAAAGTCCACACAGTTTGATTAAGTCAATGAAATCCTCTGCAGGTACATTTTCAAAAATAACTCCATAGGGAAGCAGAGAAGAATCTTCCCTCCATAAGCAGTGTTTGTCATAAAAAGAAGAAAAACTTTGCTTTTTCTTTTTTGGGTCATCTTGCCTTGGTGGGAGATGGCCATTGTATTAAGTGAATTCAGAAATGAGTAGAAATAGCATGTAGATATACTTAATGTACATACAATATATAGAATTATTTATATAATCCTATCTCAGAATTGTGATCAGTTTTCTTGGTCAAGTATACTTGGACTCTTATCTACTTTCAATTTAATTAATCATTGTTTTATGTTTAGAAAACTTGTTAACTAATTGCTAGTTAATGCTATACAGATCATGAATTTTTAATGCTCCATTGTCACACAGGTGCAAGGAAAAACTGCTTCCTGACATACCAAGAAAGTTGAGCTGCATCGGCAGTCATCAAGCTCATGGTAGTTTTGTGTGCTCGTGCATTATTTGGCTGAAAAGAAAATACAGTAAAGAATAAAAAGGCACAATACCGTGACTGGAAGCATACAATAAACATGGGAAACTGAAACTTAAGATGACATTTCACTCCGACTTGGACCATTAACTAGTCAGGTAAAGTAAATGATATTATTAGACACTAAGTGTGATGGTGTTCATGAAATTGCTGTTGGATACTCTACAACATTAACAAAATGTAAAATTAAAATTTTTCATTTACTAATACTTTTTTAAGCACAATGGCCATCTCCAACCTGAAAAAGAAGAAGCACTTTCATTATCACTCGCCTCATTACCATTTGGCCAGAGGCATGCTGACATTACAGTTCAGATAACCCTCCAAACTTAAATATCCCCAGCTCTCCTTTAGAGTGCAGGAACTGTACTTCCCACATCCAGAACTCAGGGCTGGCTAACCAGTTTTCCTGAATCACTTCATAAGTGTTACCTTGCTCACACTCCAGCAGTACATCATGTTATAAAAGTCACTTGCCTCTGTTCAGTCCTATCATGCACACGCATGCACGCACACGCACGCATGCACGCACACGCATACGTGCACACACAACTTCTACAACTCCATTGAAAACAACCAAACTCTTCTCCTCACAAATCTGAATTTATTCAGCTAAAGCAGTTACGGGAGCCTTTACAGTTCCTCTTGGTGTGTCAGTCACTCATCTTTTTTGACTGAGAATATTTTTTTCCCACTTGATTATGGATTTCAAATTATGTACACTCGGTAGTCACTTTATTAGATGGACTTTTCTAGTAGGGGCTTCCTTTTGACCGCAGAACAGCCTGAATTCTTCGTGGCATGGATTCAACAAAGTACTGCAAACAATCTTTAGAGATCCTGGTCCATGTTGACATAAAAAGCATCACACAGTTGCTGCAGATTTTGTCAGCTTCCACTGATATTGCTAATCTCCCGTTCCATAACATCCCAAAGGTTTACGCCAAATTCTGCTTGTCGCAGAAGAAATCGGGATTCGTTAGAGCAGGGGACGTTTTGATAAACTAATTGTTAGACAACTGTAATGGTAGATAATTGTACTTAGAGGAGGAAATGTATTCTAGAGGTGCTATAATGCTTCAACATGTATTTGGCACATTAATTATAGAAGTGGAGACACCAGCAGCATAACTTTGCTCCTGAATCTAAACGCATGTTAGCACATGCGTAATGATGTATAATATAGATAATTAATTGCAAACAGGGAATTTTGCACACACACACACACACACACACACGCATGCACATACAACAGGCCTAGTGTCTAATCGACATGTGCCTAGGACCAAATGGTTAACTAACACTCTCTCTCCTCTCTCTTCTCTCTCTCTCTCTCTCTCTTCCTCTCTCTCCCCCTCTCTCTCTCTCTCTCTCTCTCTCTCTCTCTCTCTCTCTCTCTCTGTCTCTCTCTCTCTCTCTGTCCTCTCTCTCTCTCTTTTTTCTCTCTCTCTCTCTTTTCCTCTCTCTCTCTCTTTCTCTCTCGTCTCTCTCTCTCTTCTCTCTTCTCCTTCTCTCTCTGTCTCTCTCTCTCTCTCTCTCTGTCTCTCTCCTCTCTCTTTTCCTCTCTCTCTCTGTCCTCTCCTCTTCTCTCTGTCTCTCTCTCTCTCTCTCTCTCTCGTCTCTCTCTCTCTCTCTCTGTCTCTCTCTCTTCTCTCTCTTCTCTCTTTTCTCTTCTCTTGTCTCTCTCTCTCTCTGTCTCTCTCTCTCTTGTCTCTCTCTCTCTCTGTCTCTCTCTCTGTCTCTCTCTCTCTCTGTCTCTCTCTCTCTCTGCTCTCTCTCTCTCTGCCTCTCTGTCTCTCTGCCTCTCTGTCTCTCTGCCTCTCTGTCTCTCCCTCTCTCCCTCTCTGCCTCTCTGCCTCTCTGTCTCTCTGCCTCTGTCTCTCGGGTCTCTGTCTTCTGTCTCTGTCTCTGTCTCTGCCCTCTGTCTCTGTCTCTGTCTCTGTCTCTCTCTCTCCCCTCTCTCTCTCTCTTTTCCTCCCCTCTCTCTCTCTCTTCTCTCCTCTCTCTCCCCTCTCTCTCTCTGCCACCAGGACCACGGTTCGATCCCCCGTCCGTTCTTGCGTTTATTCATTGACAGTTGTTTATGACGTATTCTGAGTTTATAGACTGCATGGCTTTGAGGGAGTGAGAATAAATTTACCTGGGTAAACTTCTGGGCCTGGAATAGACAGTAGGTGTGTCACAGATGGTGACGTGACGGAGAAACATGAACACAAGTTCTTGTTCCGAAATCATATTTGTAAGCCTTGTAACTCAGCGGGTAACCGCTGTGCTTGCTGTCACCAGGACCACGTTTCGAGCCCTCTGAGGTCTTCTTCGTCTGTGGAAGAGGCAAACGTTAATTAAAATTTTATGGATATGCCTTAGGGAAATAATAATAAAAATAATAAAAATTTAATAATATAACAGCAACACAACAGAGAAATGTACTTTGATGTAAGTTGAATATAACTCTGGTTTATCTGTGTCAAGCGTTAAAAATAATAGAAGTAAATAATGAATCAGAATGGCATGGTAATGCAGTTAGAAGCCTGAATCAATTTGTTAATATAACGTGAATGTAGACACTCAGAGTCGGAAAACTTCGTAGATCTGTCTCACTATGATAACAAATGTAGACAAGCAATTTTGCAGCGCAATGGGAGCAGACTGACTGATACAACCACTCATTTACGTAGTAACTTACAATGTAAACATCGATTCAGCAACTCATTTACGTTGCTACTTGCACTGTAAACAGACCGATTTAGCAACTCATTTACGTTGCAACTTGCTATGTAAACAAAGTGACTCGCCCAATCGCTCTCTCCTTAATTCTGCTTTCCTGAAAATTTTGCGTGACAAAAGGGAATAAAATTCCAATATATTACTCCATTAATAATATTCAAAACAGTTGGAAACTTTTTTTGACTAATGTTGGCGAATATAAATATTTTAGACCTGTGTTCAAAATTCATAAGTGTAACCCAGTTAACTATCTATTTTATTCTAAATGTTTTAATGAGTTGAATTGTTTTTGTTGAAAGTTAAGGATGAAACTAACACACACACACACACACACACGTACGCACGCGCACATGCACAAAGGGCCACAGTTGGACGTTGAAGATTCAGATGAGTCAGAGGGATGGTAGAAAGTATTTCTTCAGTCATAGAGTTGTCAGGAAGTGGAATAGTCTGGAAAGCGAGGTAGTCGAGGCAATATCCGTATATAGCTTTAAGAAGAGGTATGATAAAGCTCATGGAGCAGAGAGAGATTGGACCAAGTAGCTACCAGTGAAAATATAAACACATATTCAGTATAATGTGATCCTTTATTGACAACGTTTCACCCACACAGTAGGCTTTTTCAAGTCACAAAAAGATCTACCTGGGGTGGAAGGTACGCGAGTATTTATAGACAGGTTCAGAATGCTGTGTCGGTATTTTATACCATTTATTTCCAGCAACCAGTGAAGGGGAGGGGTCAGGAGCTAGAGGACCTAGTAGCATTCAGTGAAGAGGCGGGGCCAGGAGCTGAGTTTCGACCCCTGCAACTACAATTAGGTGAGCGCGCGCGCGCGCACACACACACACACAGGAAGTGGAATAGTTTGGGAAGCGATGTAGTGGAGGCAGGATCCATACATAGCTTTAAGCAGAGGTATGATAAGTTCACAGGTTTTAGGGAGAGTGACCTAGTATGCGACCAGTGAAGTGGCGGGGTCACGGAGCTTGGACTCGACCCCTGAAACCTCAACTAAGTGAGTCAACTAGGTGAGTTACAACACACACACACACACACACACACAGGCCTAGTGTTAATCGACATGTGCCTAGGACAAAAATGGTAAATAACACACACACACACACACAACACACCACACACACACACACACACACACACACACACACACAACACAACACACAACACGCATGCACATACAACAGGCCTAGTGTCTAATCGACATGTGCCTAGGACCAAATGGTAACTAAAAACACACACACACACACGAATGCACATACAACAGGCCTAGTGTCTAATCGACATGTGCCTAGGACCAAATGGTAATAACAACACACAACACACACACACACACACACACAACCAACACCACACACACACACACAGACCTACTCAGTGGAGAGAAATGCCTGGGAGGTGACCATAAAAACCGAGACATCACGGAAGGCACACTATCAACCAAATAACCGCTGCAAAGATACGGGCGCCTGGCAAACCTGAAGGATGCATTCAGAACCTTAAATAAGAATCAGCAAGACCACATGTACACTGTGTATGTTAGGCCCATACCTGGAGTATGCGCACCATTGGAATCCACACTGGTTCAAGCACGTCAAGAAGTTAGAAAAGTACAAAGTTTGCAAAGGCTAGTCCCAGAGCTCAAAGGGAATGCGTAGAGGAAGGTTAAGGGAAATCGGACTGACGACACTGGAGGACAGAAGGGTCAGAGGAACGATGATAATGACCATACAAGATACTGCGGGGAATAGAACAGGTGGACAGAGATAGGATGTTCAGAGAGGGACACAGGGACAAGGGTCAAAAATGGAAATGAAGCTCAGCGAGCACAGGGACGTTAGGAAGGGTATTTCCTCTATCGTCATAGAGTTGTCAGCAAAAGTGGAAATAGCCTAGCAAGTGAAGTAGTGGAGGCAGAAACCATACATAGTTTTAAGAAGAGGTAATGACAAAAGCTCAGGAAGCAGAGAGAGAGAGGATCCAGTAGCGATCAGTTGAAGGGCGGGGCCAGAGCTGAGTCTCGACCCCTGCAACCAAAAAATATAGGTGAGTACAATTAGGTGAGTTACACACACCTACCTCCCTACCTACCTCCCTTACCTGGAGTTTTACCTGGAGGAGTTCCGGGGGTCAACGCCCCGCGGCCTGGTCTGTGACCAGGCCTCCTGGTGGATCAGAGCCTGATCAACCAGGCTGTTACTGCTGGCTGCACGCAAACCAACGTACGAGCCACAGCCCGGCTGGTCAGGAACCGCTTTAGGTGCTTGCCAGTACCAGCTTAAAGACTGCCAGGGGTGTCTGTTGGTAATCCCCCTTATGTATGATGGGAGGCAGTTGAACAGTCTTGGGCCCCTGACACTTATTGTATGGTCTCTTAACGTGCTAGTGACACCCCTGCTTTTCACTGGGAGGATGTTGCATCGTCTGCCAAGTCTTTTGCTTTCGTAGTGAGTGATTTTCGTGTGCAAGTTCGGTACTAGTCCCTCTAGGATTTTCCAGGTGTATATAATCATGTATCTCTCCCGCCTGCGTTCCAAGGAATACAGGTTTAGGAACCTCAAGCGCTCCCAGTAATTGAGGTGTTTTATCTCCGTTATGCGCGCAGTGAAGGTTCTCTGTTCATTTTCCTGGTCAGCAATTTCACCTGCCTTGGAAGGTGCTGTTAGTGTGCAGCAATATTCCAGTCTAGATAGAACAAGTGACCTGAAGAATGTCATCATGAGCTTGGCCTCCCTAGTATTGAAGGTTCTCATTATCCATCCTGTCATTTTTCTAGCAGATGCGATTGATACAATGTTATGGTCCTTGAAGGTGAGATCCTCCGACATGATCACTCCGAGGTCTTTGACGTTGGTGTTTCGCTCTATTTTGTGGCCAGAATTTGTTTTGTACTCTGATGAAGATTTAATTTCCTCGTGTTTACCATATCTGAGTAATTGAAATTTCTCATCGTTGAACTTCATATTGTTTTCTGCAGCCCACTGAAAGATTTGGTTGATGTCCGCCTGGAGCCTTGCAGTGTCTGCAATGGAAGACACTATCATGCAGATTCGGGTGTCATCTGCAAAGGAAGACACGGTGCTGTGGCTGACATCCTTGTCTATGTCAGATATGAGGATGAGGAACAAGATGGGAGCGAGTACTGTGCCTTGTGGAACAGAGCTTTTCACCGTAGCTGCCTTGGACTTTACTCTGTTGACTACTACTCTCTGTGTTCTGTTAGTGAGGAAATTATAGATCCATCGACCAACTTTTCCTGTTATTCCTTTAGCACGCATTTTGTGCACTATTACGCCATGGTCACACTTGTCGAAGGCTTTTGCAAAGTCTGTATATATTACATCTGCATTCTTTTTGTGTTCTAGTGCATCTAGGACCTTGTTGTAGTGATCCAATAGTTGAGACAGACAGGAGCAACCTGTTCTAAACCCATGTTGCCCTGGGTTGTGTAACTGATGAGTTTCTAGATGGGTGGTGATCTTGCTTCTTAGGACCCTTTCAAAGATTTTTATGATATGGGATGTTAGTGCTATCGGTCTGTAGTTCTTTGCTGTTGCTTTACTGCCCCCTTTGTGGAGTGGGGCTATGTCTGTTGTTTTTAGTAACTGTGGGACGACCCCCGTGTCCATGCTCCCTCTCCATAGGATGGTAAAGGCTGTTGGATGTCCAAGTCCCTCACATAAAAACCCTTTACCCCTCTCCCTCCAACCTTTCCTAGGATGACCCTTACCTTGCCTTCCCTCCACTACAGATTTATACACACAACAATTATCTTGTTTTGCTCCATTCTCTCTAAATGTCCAAACAACCTCAGTAACCTCTCCTCAACTCTCTATAAAACCCCCACACCTACTCCTTATCTCCAAACTACAAATTCTGTACATAATATTCACACCTCATATTGCCCTCAGACATGACATCTGCACTGCCTACAGCCTTCAGCCTTCTCCTCAATGCAAAACTATAAAGTGGTGCCTTGAGTTACAGTATTAATCCATTCCAGAAGATATAATGTACCTCAAGACTATCGTAACTCATACCACAAAATATGTGGTTTTAAGGTAATTTGTTCGAACACCCCAGAAGTGCAACCTTTGCTTAACCTTGCATTTGGATGCTCACAGATATTTACTTGCAGACGCTATCTCCCTTCATCTGCTTCTCTCTTATCCACATTAATAACAGTCTTTCCATCTCTGTGATAATTTCTCTGCCTTTTTTCACTAGCTTAGATTTGTCAGCCACTTGAATATCTTTTAAAATGTCTTTTTACCTCATAATGGTAGAAAATGTTGATAGTGGAAAGCCATACTCATGAATCAGTGCACTAATTCTAACTCCTGCATCCTTTTTTTTTGTTTGATATTCAGAGACATAGCCTGTTTCCTGTGCACTTTAGTAACCATGAAGACCTGATAGCGCAAAGGATGATGTAATTAAACCACAAATATGCATTGTATCTCAAATTTTTCATCACAACTCAAAACTAAGTTTCTTTATGAGGGCAAATAGTTATAGTAACTTCAGCCCATTGCAACTCAAGGGACCACTATACTACTGGATAATTTTTTTATCTTGAGTGTCTGAATTATTTTATTTTTTTGCTCTGCTTCCATTTAGGAGTATCTTAGAATTATTCTTTTCTTTTTTTCAACACACCAGCCGTATCCTACCGAGGCGGAGTGGCCCGAAAGGAAAAACAAAAGTTTCTCCTTTTACATTTAGTAGTATATACAGGAGAAGAGGTTACTAGCCCCTTGCTCCCGGCATTTTAGTCGCCTCTTACGACACGCATGGCTTACGGAGGAAGAATTCTGTTCCACTTTCCCATGGAGATAAGAGGAAATAAACAAGAACAAGAACTAGAAAGAAAATAGAAGAAAACCCAGAGGGGTGCATATATATATGCTTGTACATGTATGTGTAGTGTGACCTAAGTGTAAGTAGAAGTAGCAAGAGGTACCTGAAATCTTGCATGTTTATGAGACAGAAGAAAGACACCAGCAATCCTACCATCATGTAAAACAATTACAGGTTTCCGTTTTACACTCGCTTGGCAGGACTGTAGTACCTCCCTGGGCGGTTGCTGTCTACCAACCTACTACCTAGGAGATATTTCTTGTCTGTTATTAAAATACAGAATTTCCTACCTAAAATTATGAAACATTACACTTTCTTCATACATTCTTCAACTTCAGATATTCTCAATAGTCTCACTTGCAATTGTTGCTTCAGAAAATATATCATAAGAAATTTTTTTTTATAACCACAGTGAAATCTTGGTGTAATGAACTAATGGAAGAGGTGGCATCCAGTTTAACCCTTTCACTGTCCATACCCTCAAAAATAGTATTGCTAAGATAATGACACCAAAAGTATGAAATTTAATGGAAAACATACAGAATTACACAGGTGCAAAGTTAGTGGACTAGGTGCAATTTGTGCATTGTCAATTTTGTGCACTTGAGGTTCCATTTTAAGCTATTTGGCCAAATTCTTAGCTATTTCACTAATATTCCTTGTGTTCAATCTATCGAGCACAAGAAATTGCCCGTTCAACTATTAGAACTATACTCTATAAAATGCACTGGTCAGTAACTGGGCCAATTTTGCATAAAATTAAAAAAATACAGAATAAATAATATATAGACATTCCAGGCACTAAAACAACAATTTCTCTCTTCATTAATCATGTCCCCAGGTTTTTGTCTATGTTACGCTTCCCTTCCATTTTGAATTCATATCCATGAAAAATTGAAGATTTACCTTGTTTCTTGGATAACAAAGTATAACCATGCATGATTGGTTATGGTTTATGGTGTCCTAATAGTTGAATCCATAAAACCTCCAAGGGATTGTAAGAAGGCCTTACCTGTCTTCAGGAAAATTGGCAAAATCTGGATATTTCTTTTACATTTAGTTCAATTTCAAGGTACTTCTAGCCCTGAAATCAACCAAAAACATCTCAATTTCAGTTGTATATCTTCCATTCTATTAAATGATAGCAAGAAACAGCCAATAAAATTCATAAAAACTATCCTAGAAAACACCTAAAAGTCACTATTTTAATCAAAACATAAGGTCAAAGTTTTGTTTTTCCTTTCATGAAGCACGTGAGGCAGGATTTTTGTTTTATCTTGTGGACACTCGCCATACACCCATTTTCTCATATCTAGGCCAAAATTTACCACTCACAGTTTATCCACGTTCATGACATCAATCTAGGTGACAGACCCAGGTGTAAGTGACGTAGTTCTACATGATTTACAGTCAAAGGGTTACCAAGTACATTTTTATTTTTAACACATCAGCTGTCTCCCACCAAAGCAGGGTGACTTGAAAAAGAAGAAATATTTTCAGAATATTTTTTCTCTCAAACCAGCCTTTGCTCTCCCTAAATTCACTAACAGCAGCACTTGTTCCAGGCATTTTCTTTACAAGGTCCACATGCAACTGCCTTGCCTTCTCACAAATCATCTACTCTGCAACACAGTCTCCTGCTAATTGTTTTTCAGTGGTCCACAAAACCAACAACTTCTCCATATCTTCCATTATTGGTAACCTTTGTTTGGTTAGCACATTTACTCCTTTTGCCGTATCAGCTTCCTTGATTTGTTCTTTCTTTGCCAGGATAGAAGTGATTGTTGATTTGTTTTTCCCATACATCCTTGCAATTCTAGCACTTGAAAACCACTCTCAAACTTTTTAACCACTTCTTCCTTAAATTCCATCATGTTTCTCACTTTCTTTACCAAAGTAACTTTACTAGGAACTTTCTTTGGGGTCATGGTTACTTATTTTGCAGTTGCACTTAATCAGTAACCATGAAAAACTATGGATTATAGTGAAATGTTTGGATGAATGAGCAAAAGCTTCCTCACTTGCCCAGAGACAAAGCCAGACTGACGCGCAAGCGGCTGGCAGCGGTGGGTTGACATGTACCATATGGCTGATAAGCAAAATAACGGCTGATAACCGGAAGCTGAAAAACCGGCTGCTATGCGGAGCAACCGATAACCGAGGGTCCACTGTATACCCTATCTTGGCGAGAGATGGCCGGTATGTTAAAGCAAAATATTTATTTTAGAGCATATTGCAAGAGAAAGTTCTCAGAGTATCTGAGAATCTAGATAAGTTAGCAGTAGATTAGTTTCATGTGAGTCTCACTATTATCACCTGTTTTTTTTCTTTGCAGGTCTACACTGATAGTGAACATGCAGTGCAGTAACAGTATTCAGTGTTATAAAGCTGTTGTAACATTCAGTGCCATACGGTTCTTGTAACGATCATAAGACTGTTGTCAGTGGTATACGGTGTTATTAATACCTTATCATCACAAACATTGTACCGTGTTATTAAGAACATATCATTGTTACAATCACTGTACAGTGTTATTAAGAGTACCACATCATCACAAAACACTATATACTGCTGTTAATAATACCACATCATTTCTAACACTACAGTGTTATTAAGAACACATCATTACACACATTGTGCAGTACTATTAGGGGCTCCATATCATCACAAACACTACAGTGTCAACATGTTTGAAAATTCCCCTCAATAACCTAAGATGATGTTGCTTCCTCAGCACCTGGTGTACTATGAAGATAAATTGCACTAAAAATTGACTTACCAAAAGGCCTTTGCATGTAATATCAGTAGCAACGAATTTACAAGTCAAGGGGTGCTCTGTGACCTGTGCTGGTCTAGCACTTTTATGTGAATAATTATTAATACTGTATATGGAGTTAGTAATTTTTGTTAATTTTTCTCAACTGTTTATACTGTGTTTTTAAGACCTTATACAAGAGTAAAATCCTGCATTGGATAATGAAAAGATTTTATGTGAGGCTTTAAACCTGTGTGGGTCACAACACAAGAAGTGGTGAAGGCTTATTCTTCTTTCCATGTGGGTCATTCAACACAAGGAGTGACAGATTCACAATCATCTGTCTGCTTATTGCAAGACATATATGATATACACAATTTTTTTGACTCGGGCATTGTGTGAAGGTTAAACTTCTCTTGAACTACTGTTCTATTTAGCAGTAATGCAAATAAATTAAGATGTTACACCTGCTACTCCAAATTTGATGTTTACTTTATTGTATTCCAAATTTTCTATCCACAACTTGAATAGAACATATTATGTAACTTAGTTGTAAAATATTCTAGTCACTGTATTCTGATTTATTCATGTGCTTGGATTTTCTAAAGTTCAATCTCAAGTTTGTTGCTCGACATCAATGCATCAGTATGATCATTTCAGTTAATCATACTTTTCTTTAATATTTACAAATGTTTTCGTATTTCTGTATATTCTAGAGTATAAGGTGCTGTATGACCCACACAGGTTTGATCCATTTTTAGGACTGCTACTTTTATTACTAATAGTTGCAATATAAATGTCATCTTTGTATAGAAACACTAATTCCTGAAATTGAAAATTTATGGTCATATAACATTTAGTTTCTCACTGTCAGTTATTTATTTTTGAGAAATATGATTTTCTCTTGAAAAACTGTATGTAGTGTTGTGTAAATCTTTCTACACAGAGTAATGTCTAGGAGGAAATACAGAGGAGTATTTACTATATAGTTTAGGGTGAGAATTTTCAGCAAGTTTTAGAGAATTATTAAAATATTTAGTTTTTAAATTATTATAAGACATATAATAAATTATTTTTTTTACCTCAACAGCCATATCCTACTAAGGTAGGGTGACTGAAAGAATAAGACACATTAACCATTATTCATTCTGTCAGTTTTTTCCAGAATTGTGTTGACAATATAATACAGATTACTCTCTTGACTACATCGTCCCCACCCTCCCTCTTGACTACAACATCTCCACCTTTCCTTTGAAGTTCAGGCATTGCCTTTCTTTCCTCTAGCACTCAAGTTTGGCTAACTGTTTTTTCTGGTATCCCTTCGTAGAAGTTACATATTGTTAGAAATCATTTCATTTTTTATGGTCAGGTTTTGCCGCACCAATATACCTTAGCATCATTTTTTAGAAAATAATATATTTATGATTTAATGTCACAGTATTTGTTTATAAATATCAGTACATTATACCAACACAGTTCAGTATATTGTCTTAAGTGTTCTTCACTTTCTAGACATATAAGTGAAGTTTTAGAACACACACACCCAGGAGCTTATTCAGTGTAAAAACCACAGTGTTGTGTCACAACTACCTCTTACCAAATACTTGCAACAATGCATGTGAATGTTGATACAGAAGAAGAGAAGCCTTATCAGTGCTCCGTGTGCCAAAAGCAATTTCCCAAAAAATCTAATTTATTAAAGCATGGAAGAGTTCATACAGATGAGAAAGTACACCACTGTACTGAATGTCCAAGAAGCTTCACATATAGATCAAATCTAGTAATACATATGAGAATTCATTCAGGTGAGAAACCTTATCAGTGTTCTGTTTGTCAAAAAGACTTTCGGCAAAAATCAGGTTTAACGTCTCATATGAGAGTTCACACAGGAGAGAGACCTTTTAAGTGTCCAGTGTGTGAGAGTAGCTTTACATTGAAAGCACATGTGGCAGGACACATGAGAGTCCATACAGGAGAGAAACCATACCAGTGTTCAGAATGTCTGAAATACTTTACGAAAAAGTCAAGTCTAGCAATACATGAGAGAATTCATTCAGGAGAGAAGCCATACTCATGTTCAGTGTGTCTGAAAAACTTTCGACAAAAATCTGATCTTATATCTCACGTTAGACTTCATACTGGTGAGCGACCTTTTCACTGTACAAAGTGTTTAAAAACCTTTACGCTAAAATCACATTTAGCAGTACATATGAAAGTGCATACAGGAGAGAAACCATACAAGTGTTCTGAGTGCACAAAATATTTTACAACAAAATGTTATCTTAAAAAACACATGAGGATCCATACTGGAGAGAGACCTTATCCTTGTACAGAATGCATAAAAACTTTCACATGTAAATCATACCTTGAATCTCACATGAGAGTTCATTCGGGATACAAACCCTATCAGTGTTCAGAGTGCCTAAAAAGCTTTTCCAAAAAATCTAATCTAGTAACACATGTAAAACTACATACTGGAGAGAAACCTTATCGATGTTTAGTATCTAAGAAACTCTTCACAAAAAAACTCACTTGATAATGCATGTGAGAATTCATGCAGTTATGAAAATCCAGTATAGTAATCAATGCTGTAGCTCGTGCAAGAGAAAATTTTATATGACCTTTCAAAGTATGTCTTAAAGGGAATGGACAATTAAGGATTTATAACAGTTATAATCTAGTAACAGAATTAAAGTCAAAGTAGGTGTTGAATCATATTTATATGTAGAAAGCTTTTAACCCTTTGAGGGTTTCGGCCGTACTAGTACGGCTTACGACCCAGAGTTTTTGACGTACTAGTACGCCTAAATTCTAGCGCCCTCAAATCTAGTGGGAGAAAGCTGGTAGGCATACATATAAAAGAATGGGTCTATGTGGTCAGTGTGCGCAGTATAAAAGAAATCCTGCAGCACACAGTGCATAATGAGAAAAAAAACTTTGACCGTGTTTTTGGAATAAAACAGCAACTTTGCACTGTATTTTTGTATGGTATTTATTGTTTAATTCTAGTTTTCTTGGTCTCATTTTATAGAATGGAAGACATATTACAGAAATTGAGATGATTTTGACTGGTTTTACAATGAAAAGTACCTTGAAATTGAGTTCAAAGTAGCAGAAATGTTCGATTTTTACCAAAGTTCAAAAGTAAACAAATCATGCCAAGCGTCCAATACACGTCAACTGGTGAGTTTAATATTATTTCACAAGTGCGCTGATATTATTTATACTATTTCTACACTAATGCAGCAGTCTGCATAACAGTAAATCTTCTATTTTTTGTAAAAATAAAAATTGAAAGTGGAAAGCCGATGAAATATAAGAGGGGCCTGGGGATGCAACTAACGAACAGAGAAAATGTTATTTTAGTGCCAGGAATGTCTTTCTTGTTTATTCTGGACCCTATTTGGAAATTGGCATTTTTTTAAATTTGTGTGAAATTGGAAAAATTGCTAATTCTGACCACTGTATTGGATAGTTGAAATTAGTAAATGGGTGGTTTCTTGCACTCATTCAATAGAAAAAATGGAGTTCTAGAGAAATAGTTATGATTTTTGTCGACTAGTACACTGGAATTGGCCGAAAATAGGGCTCAAAGTGGGCAAAATTGCCGATGCGTAAAGATCGTCAAGACCGCTAACTTCGAAAGAGCATAATTCCGTAAGCTTTCCATCAAATTTCATACCTTTGGTGTCATTATGATTGGGAAAAGATTCTCTATCTTTTCATAAGATTTTTTTTTTTTTTTTTTTTTTAAATTTGGCCGACCCTGAGAACAAGTCTCGGAGAGGGCCTGTCGACCCTCAAAGGGTTAATATAAATATATTCTAATATATTTGAGTGTTTTTAAAAATAGAAAAAAAAATTTTTTTTACCTCAGCTGCCATCTGCCAAGGCAGAGTGACTCAAAGAAAAAAAAAATTCATCATCATTCATTCAGTTGCTGTCTTGCCAGAAATATTCTAAAATCTAAATTCAGATTACCCTCTGACTGCAGTCCCCCCTTCCCTCTAGAATGCAGGCACTGCCCTTCCCACTTCCACAATTCAAGGCCAGCTAACCTGTTTCCCTAAATCACTTCATAAAAGCTACCTTGCTTACACTCCAACAGCATATCCATTAAAAACCACTTGTTACCATTCACTTTTATCTAACATTCTTACTTAAGCCTACTGGATGTTCAAGCCCCTAAAACTCGAAGCCTTTTTCATCTCCCTTCAACTGTTCCTGGGATGGCCCCTTTCCCTCCTACTTTCTATCACTTATTGTATGGCAAGTTTATTCTATTAACACTTCATTTAGGAAACAATTTGTAAAATCATGTAGACTGCAATAATATATATTGCTATATTAATTAGAATTAGAAGAATTACAATTGTATATATCATACCTGAATGAAACGTGTAATTGTAATTGAAGCTGAACTTCACCAAAATTAATGTTAAACTTTGCGAGTTTATACGACACAAGGCTTGGAAGACAAAATAAGCAGCTAGAAAATTACAGTGGACCCCGGTATTCGATGGCATCAGTATTCGATAAATCCGGTATTCGATGCGTTTTAACGCAAAAATTTTGCCTCGGTATCCAATTGAAAACCCAGTATTCGATACGATTCGTACGAGACGTGTCCACTTGTGGCCTGAACTGCCCCGTGTGTGCCAGTGTTTACAAGCCAGCCAGTGTGCGCGCATCTAAAGATACATTCGGTACATTCCATATTATCACTGTTTTTGGTGCTTGTTTCTGCAAAATAAGTCACCATGGGCCCCAAGAAAGCTTCTAGTGCCAACCCTGTGGTAAAAAGGGTGAGAATTAGTATGGAAATTAAGAAAGATTTTGAAGGGTTTGGGGCTAACCCTGAGAAGCCTATGCCAGTTGTGGAATCCATTGTGCCTACTTCAAAAATTAAGCAAATGTGTGCACAGTGGGTTGAACTGCAAACCTTTATGGATGAAAATCACCCTAACACAGCTATTGCAAGCCGTGCTGGTGACTATTACAGTGACAATGTTGTGGCCCATTTTAGACAAATCATAAAGGAATGGGAGGTACAGAGCTTTATGGACAGATTTGTTGTGCGACAGGGGTCCAGTGGCTCTCAAGCTGGTCCTAGTGGCATTAAAAGAAGAAGGGAAGTAACCCCGGAAAAGGACTTGCTACCTCAAGTCCTAATGGAAGGGGATTCTCCTTCTAAACACTAACACCATTCACACTCTCCTCTCCTCCCATCCCATCAATCATCACCAGATCTTTATTAAAGGTAAGTGTCAATTATTCTATTGTTATTGTTGTTATTGTAATTATTCTATTGCATTAAACTTAATATTTCATGTGGTAAAATATTTTTTTTCATACTTTTGGGTGTCTTGCACGGATTAATTTGATTTCCATTATTTCTTATGGGGAAAATTGATTCGCTTTTCGATATTTTCGGTATTTGTTGAGCTCTCAGGAATGGATTAATATCGAATACCGGGGGTCCACTGTAATGGATGATTTTCTCCATTAAATTGAAAAGAAAATTGGTAGGAAAATATGGCAGGCACAAAAACTGTTAAGAAACACACACAAGAAAGGTAGAGAGGTAAATGTATGCTGAATGTCAGTAGAAGTTTGTAGGAATTTCCTGTCATCTTAGATGTTCAGGAGACTGAAGGAAAAAGATCAGTAACCTCTGTAAAAGATATTTAAGAAGATTGATGGTTTCTGTTTATTAACTTGTGAGTTTACTTTCATATTAAATTACTACTTGGCAATAACTTGTGCTGGAATGGATAAGTTGACTTGATTCTTGCTTCATTACAACTTGCTGTTGAGAACACTAGCAAATGGGCCATACTGCATTGCTTCTGGTTCATCCAAAAAAAATTGTTATGCAGTTACAACTTGCCAGATGCTGAAATTTCTAGGTTTCCTATCATGAAAAGTTCAAGAGCTGAGTGTTTTAGTAGAATTAATTTTCTCTAAGATATTCTCAGATCTTTCTTGTAGAATCAGGATC